GCAATAAATGCGAATTTCTTGTAATTTGAACAATTTGAGTATGTTCAGGTGAGTATCGACCCTAGCTGTTACGAATTGCATATCGCATTTACTTACATTTAGCATTCAGCAGAATATGCAACCATTGCTTCTTGTTCAGACTTCTGAAGGTCACATAATTAATACTAGATATACCAGCCATACCTTTCAAGCGATTTCGTTTCCCTCTGAAAAATGCGCCAGTTCAGTCAAGTATAGTTAAGTTCGTGAACAGAGAAGCACACCTATCTGATAGCAGCCATTCTTCTCTTTAATTAATGAACCAAAGTGTTTAACGCCATCCCCCCCCCCAATCCCCTTATAGAAAAAATCGACACAACTTAGATTATTCAGGAGGCGGGCTTCGAATTTGCCTACCAGGACAAGTCCCAGTTCAAAGTGATATAACATTTCAGCAGAAAGACCAAGATACTAGACAAAAAATCCTCCCCACTCAAAAATCGAACTCGGGTCGCCTGTATGCAACGTCAAGGCACCTAGCGGTACACCACAGACGCCGGGTAACGGTTATCTAGTGTAGAGAAAAGGCAAGGAGCCAGAAACGACAGAGGAGAAGGAAACAAGTCTTAGTAAGTAGAAACTACCAGAAGCACCACACACTCACTCGCAAGCTCGTTTTTCAGTGACAAACCTGGAATGTATTGCTGTTGTTTATTGCTGGCAGGTCCGGGGAGACGAAGACTGTGCCGTGAACCCACCTATCTCCCTGATCTCCGTGTTTCTGCCACATGGGGACCGGGACCTCTCCGGCAACACCTTTGGACAAAAAGGATAATAATACGTCAAATCATTGAGGATGAGCTGTTTTGGGGCGACGTTTAAGAAGCATAATTTTGTTATTCATACAGATTTTAAAAATAAATTTCTTTTATATTCTTAACCGAAACTTTAAAAGTCAGACTACAACACGCATACAATGACATATACAAATAGGTTTTTTGATGTGTATATGACGGTTTGAAATGTATTTCAATTTTGATTTTGATTTGCTGCCGATCAGGCACATGTGTCCAACCCACACAAAAAGAAGTAAAATTGGGACGTGGTGAGCAAGTCTTCTCGTTTTACTTTCGTGTGAACCTTCAAAAATAATCTTGTGTCTGGTACTGTTATATATTAGTTTGTAAAATATAGCTCAGTTAAATACGACTCGGTAAAGAACAGAAAAGACATTTTCAAAAAATCAAAAATAAAGCGTCTTCTCATTAGAAAATAAACATTCAGTTTCATCAGTTTCAGCAATGTATTTTCATCTATGTTCCAAAGGACGAAAAAGAAGAGTATAGTCACTCAGTCTTCGCATTTAGGACAATAATAGACGCAAACGAGCGTCTGAGAACTGGTTTTCAAGGGACTAGTAGCTGTAAAATGGTGAAATGGCATATGTTTAACGATCTCTATCGAGACTATTAGGTTATTTAAGAGACGGGGCCTCCGAGTTCAACATCCATCTCCGAAAGGACCGAGCCAATTGGGAAATTCGTTTAAAGTGCTTTTCCCAAGGACACAACGTAGTACCGAGCTGAAGGTCGAATCCCCGAACTCACAGTCTCACGATTACGAGTCTGGGTAGGCTAATCACTAAGCTATCGACGCCACGTCTAGTAGCAGCTGTGACCCACGTTTCTCAACCTGTATCGCTCTGGCTGCGAGTACCATGGCTGTCAAATCTTGGCAAGTATTAACACAGCCTGCAAGTCCACCAATAGAAGACATTCACCCGTTAAAGGAGGACTACTATTATGCTGCCAACCATCCAACTTCTTTTCAGTGAGTTGCATTTTCTGTTCCCCTATCTTCCTTGTTGATCTAGACCGAGAGTTCGCTTTTCCAAACAAAACGGCTTCGAAGAGCACGTAGCATGGATCCAAATTTTGGAATGACAAAAGGTTATCGCTGGAGTCATTCTACATTAGCTCCAGTCAATTTCCATGAGTTTCTAAATAAATCTATTATTTGAATAGAGATATCAAGGAGTATCTTGCAATATTGTTTCTTTCTCTTTCGTTTACTTCCTTCTTCTGGTTTTTAGTTGAAAAATAACAAAGTAATGGCTCTAATGTGGGTTCTCCCTTTTTCTCTAATTTTCTCAAAACTTAAAAAAATGTCGTAGGTGATAGCGGAAGAACACTGAGAATATATGTGCGACTAGGTAAGCGTAAAATGTTTCCTTTAAGAAATCTCACCTGTACTAAGTACCACACTAAGTTCTCCGACCACATCGCCGTGCATAAAGTACCAAAACCGCAGACAAGTTCCGTTCTCTGACCGCTGAATGACTGGACTCTCTAGGCTGGCCTTGAGACCAAATTTCTGACCAGAAGTGGTCAGAAACAGTCCTTTTGGAGGAGGGGGGATTAAGACAAAATCATTTAAACACGTCTGACTTCATCAGATGACATGGGTCGTAAAAGAGTTTCCCAGCTATGTGTGTGTGTGTGTGTGTGTGTGTGTGTGAGAG